TCCGTTCCGAGCCCGAGCCGACCGCCCCGCCGAACCACGCCGTGCAGCTCCGCTCGCCGCTCGGCTTCGGGACGGGCTTCGGGGAGCAGGGCACTCCTCCCTCTGTGCTTCCCCCTTCCCCTCCCCTCCCGGGCCGGGCGGCGCGGCGCGGCGTGGCGGAGCGTGGCGTGGTGCGTGCGGCCAGGGGGAGGGGCGACCAGAGGGGTAAAATTCGTCAACCAGGTGACGATTTGGCGTTGGTTTTGCAAAACCCAGGGGTCGCTTTGCCAAGTTTCCTGCGAGCCCAGATCTGCACTCGCACCCCCCCCCCTTTTACCGGCCTTCCCCTCACACACAGGATGGGGGTGAACTGCATTGCGGGGGTGGTCAACCTGGAGGCCAGCCCGGGGGAGAGGGAGGGGTGGGGAAGAATGTAATAGGGGTCGCAGCCGATCGAAGGCCAAAGCGAGGGCCAAGCCCATCACACGCGACAAGCCCGGCGGGGCACGAGACTGCGTCGCTCATCTCCGAACACCAGCCTGACCTCTCCAACGGATCCCGTGCATGCATAGCATAAACCGAGCATAAACGTTCCTCACTGACCGCCAGTTCACCGTGCCGCGGCCGCGGTTTGAATTTGAATACAACGAGGCTTACAGCGTACCAGGTGGCTGATTCACGCCGCGCACTTCTGTAGGTATACTACTGTACCGACTGTACCGCACGCACGAGTGCGGGCGGGTTGCCTACTCGCTCGGCTCATAAGGCGCAGTGGACAGGGGCGATAGGCAAGCCTGCCCGAACTCGTGCGTGCGGTACAGTCTAACTACAGAAGTGCGCGGCGTGAATCAGCCACCTGGTATAGTTGGTTCACGAAATTCTGACACACCGGCAGGCCTTTGGACCCCTGGTCTCATTGTAAGCGTCATTACGATGCGTGAAGGCCTGCTGCCGGAGGGTCCCCGGCCCTTGCCGGGCCCAGTGATATAGTCCAGCACTTCAAGTCAAAAAGAGGCCCTAACCCTGA